ATTGCCAAAATCTAGGAACTAAAAAACAGAGAAAATGACAAACTAATTCTCAGAGAGCAATGACTGAAAAGAAACTGAAAAGCCCAAGCAACCTAAGTGACATCAGTTGAATACTTGTAAGAAGGGCTGACGTGGTCAACCTGTGAATGAACAGTGAAAGGGAAGTAAAAAAAAAAAACGTTGCTGCTCTCTGCATACAGCATTATTAAAGCTAGTAAGAGATTAATGATGAAAGAGATTTAAAGAATGTTGGAAAATTGGAGATGGAAAAGAACCCAAACCATAAAGTAATTTGAAGACTAGAAAAAAATTTCTTACTGTGAAGGCCAGAAAAAACTCAATGTCTACAGCTTACTGAAAGGACTCAATTGGAATTTAAGTGGTAGAAGTAAGAGAAAATACAGCCTGCTGAAGTGAACTTCAGAAAAAGGCACAGCAAAAAGTAATTCAGTGGCTACAAGCTGAACCCAGACAAGTTAAAATGTAAAACTGTAAGAGGTACCATTAGGAATCATTTATCTAAATACTGGAAGAGAATACACTCACTGATTAAATATGGAGCAAACTACGCTCTCTTGATATCTAAAAAAAATTATGTTTGAATGCCTTTCCAGTTCAGCTGTAGCCAAACAGTGAGTTCAATACAAGGGTAACTGGCAGTAAATTATGGCATGAGATACACAGTTTATCTAATTGTCTCATATGGCTTAAAACACTTAAAAGAATACCTGAATTTGCTGTATGAAAACAGCAGCAGTTCTCTAGGTACAGTGAAGTTTGAAGCCAGTTGCAAAAAGAGTTTCTATTCAGAACCTCAAAAGCCAATTTGACTAACATATAATGTCTGTTTTCTGGTGCTAAACTGGAAAACCAGGAGATAAACTCTATTGTTGGACAAAGCCTGATAGGACGTTACCCTTAGTTTAAGAAAATGCTGGTAGGATTAGAAGTACAGTTATTAAATTTAAAATAGTAGTTTTGTGAAGAAATATATCTGTTAATATAGAAACAGATAAAACTTAACATTCCAAAGTAAATAAGTAGCTCTAAATATATGGTATTTGCATCACATTATTATATTTATTAACAGCCAACATTGACAGAAAAGTAGTTGCTTAACACAAGATGAGACACTACATTAAGTTTAAATAAGTAGAAACATATAAATAAACATTTTTACTACTTTTCACTGTGTAATGCTTGCATTATAAGCACAAGGTAACAATCACACAATAAATACATTTAAAACAACATATTTCAGCATAAATTATTAATTTATAAAGTACATAGCTCATAATTTATAACAACTGCAGATTTATAAAGAGAAAAAAATTGATTTCAATATCTTTTAAAAAAGATTTCCATGTGATCATGTAAAATCACCTTTGGCTTTTCCACACCACAGTACTATATGAGCACCTTAGAAAACCAAACTCGCATGCTCAGTGTGGCAATGTTTATTCATGTTGATGCCAAGAAAATGTTGAGGTGTCTTGACAATATTCAATTTTTACTGTATGGTCTAAACTGGATTTAGCATGAACTTGAAACCCTGCCTGGCACTATTAACTATTTTTATTATGATTGTGTCTAGGTGACAGGGCTGTGGGGGTGTAAGCTTTTGTCCAAGTTATTTTATGTTGTCTTTCAATAAAAAACTAAGCCTTAGGAAGCACATCTTAAAAACTGTAATACATTTCTGCTTTAAGGATGAAGGAACTAATTGCTTATCTATGCACAGAAAATATGTAAAGCTTCACATAGGATTTATTTTACCCATGACAAGCAAATGGATATAAGAAAATAACAGGAATGCAAAGGAGTGCTAATAGAGCTACTATTAAATACTTTAATAATTATTAAAATAGTTAATAGTAGTAGTATTTACTACTATTCATCTCCTTGGGATGGTAATAGTTTTCAAAACAAATTAAATGTGATTACTTAGTTCAACAGCAAATTATAGGATTATTAAGAGAAAATATACAAGAGGAAATGCCAAATTAAATTCAAACGATATTAACTACTCAAAAAGTCAGCTTCTCTTCCTCAATTGTTCAGCTATTATAAGCACTTATTTCATATTGCCATTTAATATCACATCCATGAAAAGATGTGTGAAATCAAAGGTGTGATCACATGTGTTAATATCACACCCATGGAAAGGTGTGTGTAAAATCAAGTGAACTTGATTATACAGTGAAAAACTGTACAGTCCACTGTATTTCACCCCACATTGCATGTCTTGCAAATAATAAGCACTGAAAATTTTTAAAGCTAGTAAGCAGAAATGTGTAGCATCTGAGCTCCACCTACAGGATGAAAAGAAATGTAGAAGAAATATTTTTAATTACCGGACTACAAGAGGGCTATTTACTCTGAAGTCTTCAGATGGTCATCTCAAGCCACTGCCATTTTACAAACCCAATGCAATGCTGAGAAATTTTATTACTTATGCAATGATGGCAAACACTTCTTCTATCTCTAAACATTCCTATATGTAAGTAGCTGTTTTACAGTGTGAAGTTTAGGTTAAAGCTTTCTAAAAAACCTCAGACCAACAGAACTTCTCTAACAACTTGCCAGAATGACTGGGAGGCTCTTTTTCACAAGTTTCCTTATCTAATACAAAGTTGTCAAAAAAAAAGCTATTTTAAAAATATACACAAGAGGTTAAAATGCATACTGAAATGACCAAAATTAACTTTACCATTCAAGCACTTCAAGTATGGCTGCATTTAGAAGTGGTATTGGATCTCAGCACCATGAATTTGAGAAAGTATCTATTATTTCCATACTGCTTCTCTTAAACAGACCTCACAAATGCATTTGGATTAAAAGAAACTGATACAAATGAATACAGTTTTGCAGAAAACATCACACATGTTAAAAACGGTACTCTGAAACAAATGTTGTTAGAAGTTCAATTATTCTACCAGCACATTTAAGTATCTGATTAGAAGAAATTTTGATAGATATCAGAAGTTTCTTCACCCTATGATGTCAGTAGACATTACCCTCAAACTGTGGATAGTCCGTCCAACTTTTTGTTTGATATTTACACCTCGCACATCTCTGCCTCTGATCAACACAGGCTTTGAGTACGGTAGGTGGTGAACATCCATGTGTATATTATTGAACGTTGCCAGTACACTGAGAAAATAGTCACTATTTCAGACAATGAAACTTGATATTGTTTATCTTACTTTATCTAAACAGACCTCAAATGTAAAACCACATTATTTATAACAAACAATATCGTGCCTTTGATTTTCAGGCCAGAGGACTGCAGACAATTATGTGGAAAACAGTAAGTCTAGAAATTTATGTTACTTGTGATACTAAGCAGTATTTCCTAAGGCTATGGCTCCCAACTGCTAAAAATGCAACCAATAAAACCCTCTTCTGAGTTAAGATAACCCATTTGGCTTTAATACTATTACTAGTGCTTCCCTGAAAGAACAGAATAACCACAAAAAGAGCACATTGACCTACCACATGTAGAGCCAGCAGCTTACAGACTGACTACACAAATGTCTCTTAAAATTAGCTATAACATGATGCTAGCTTGGGCTTTTTGTACCTCATTCCTATGGGTATCCTCATCCCTTGTATTCTCTTCATGCTACAGACTTGCTATTACACCTTAGTCAATTTTGTTCCCAGCAGCCATTCTAATAAAACCCCAGGGACAATTGAACAGATTGGTGCACAGGTAGTTGAACAAATAAGTAGGCAGTAAACACGTACAGATTCCAAAGCCCTTTGCTGCTGTAAAGAAGTTATTTGGCTGCCATATAGTTCAAGGTTCTTTTTCAGAGAGAGCTTTTCTTAGAGACCTTCAAATTTCTAAGCCTGCCCTACTGAATAAGGCTATCTAATGGTGAACGGTAATTGTTTATTCTCCCCAACCAAGAACAATTCACTGAGTCTCAGAAGCTTAACATTGCATCAATCTCAACCACAAGACAAGTAACCGGATTTTGGGATTGAAGTTATTCATCATCCTCATTGATCTCTACTTCCTGGGGACCACCTGTCTACAGCAGCAATACTACAGCCACCAATTCCCAAAGCAACACACATCACAACTTCAAAGACAACAGAAAGAAAAGTCAGGAAGTCTGTTTTACAAGATGTTTTGTACATGTTCTTTAAAAAAATACCTAGTTATATCTAACATAGCCATAAAATCATGATACTCTATTTTATGTACTGCAATTTATGCTATATGTACTGCTGTATTTACTAATATGTACTGCTCTTACTGAGAGAAAGGAAAACTGAAAAATAGAAATCTAGTGCTCCAGAATCAGAGTTTCATGCTGGTTTCAGCTGAGGTAGAGTCAATTTTTTCTGCAGTAGCCAGCATGAGGACATGCTTTGGACTCGTGTTGAACACAGAGCTGTTTTACAAAGAGCCAAAGACTTTTTTGCTTTTTGTATTGAAAGCAGGAGAACTGGAATGCCTGGGAGGTATGAGAAGGCAAAACCAGGACAGGTGGCTCCAATTGACAAAAGAAGTATTTCAGGCCCTGTGACATCATGATCAGTATGAAAAGTGGTGAGAAGAAGGATCATATGAGTTGGAAGGGATGTTCACAAACGCTGGCATAACTAAATTACATGACAGGAATCCATGCTGTTATGTCTGCAGAGAAAAACGGATGTGACTGCTGCAGCACTGGAAAGCTGGTACACTGCAGGGTGAGTACTGTGATATACTAGACTTCACTGGATGACCCTCCTTTCTGTGAGTCTCAGTGGTGGGCAGCTACTATGTGCTACTACTATGTGTTAACACAGGTAAAGAACTGCTGAATTCAATCTTACAACTGAGAAGAAAGACAAAGTAAAGACTGACAAATACACATAAAGACACTTTATTTCTAACTCACAGGGAAAAATAAAACTCCCATACAAGGAATCAATAAATTATGAAAATCCTAAAACTGTAAGCAGTCTAAAGAAAAACATCTACCAAACAACACAATCCTTACCTGCGACTAGTTGTTTTCCTTTCTGTCTTGGTTACTTCCTCTTGAAGTTGCTGTTTAGTATTTTCACTTGTATCAATTTTGAGTTTCTTGGCAATGCGTTCCTTTATTTGAAATCTCTCATTACTAGCAGCTTCATCTTCAATGCTATCAGCATCTTCATCATGTTCCTCTTCATCCTTTATTGATTTAAAATGATAAAACTACTTCAGATACTTTTCAGTACAGAATGACAAATATGGAAATCTTTTTCTTACAAATATAATCTCTTCCAAGAAAAAAGCAAACTTCAAACAATATATCCTTATTTGCTACAGAGGTAACAAAAATTTACAAACATGACAGTTTCTTTTCCATACACAAATTACTTCTTATCTGTAAGGGTTAAAAAACTTAAACCAGTCTATTCTAGACTATTAACTTTTACAGCTCTGTAGATGACATCACAGCAGTGTGATATTACCCATACCACTGTTCATGAATCGAAAATTTGATTGACACAATACCACTGTCTCAATGGTATTGAGACATGATGGTACCATCCTTCATTTTCCACTGAAAGAAAAACTTAACTCCCTACCACATGGGTATACTACAGTCATGATGGGATAGAAGAGGTTAGTCCATCTGCTCCCATTAGGGAATTTACAAATACTAAATTGATCATAACTGTGAAATTGTTATAAGCTTAATGAATTGATCACAATTGATCATAAGCTGTGAAAACCTGTGGAATTGATCATTGCAGCTTGCTACAGAGGTCAAAGGAGAGGCCTCAGGCCTCCATACCTAGCACAGGTAGGCAAAAGGGATAAAGCACCTTGGATCAAAGACATTTGAAGGGAGAAATAGCTGGAGAACGAACAAGTAGCCTGACTAGACCAAGGGATCTAAGTTTGACTATCTCCTTCATGGAAGAAGGAAGTCTGTATGAACCTTAACTGAAGAATGACAGTTTGAAGATGACATGGTATATCTTTTCACGTTTACTTTGGTGTGATGCTCATCAGCAAAAGGAAAGTGTAAGATGCCACATGATTCTAATTTTAGCCAAAGACAGAAAGGACAGTTAGAAATAGCAAGCCAGAGGGCTTAACTGTATCCAGAGACTGACAGAATGTAAGCACTTGGGAAGGAAGAACATGTACGTGTCCTGGGTGTGAGATACAGGTAGGAGGAAGAGTAGCATGAAGATCATGTCCATAAACATGAAAGAGGAAAGAATAAAAAAAGTAAAAGCAGCAAGAGGCAAAATTTGGGAACAGAAGAGAAAAATCAACAATTGGATTTCAGAAGTTGTAGTGGAGTCACTGTTTAGGAATCTTTAGACTACTATGCTTAGATTCAAGATTTAGACAAGACAAGACCAGTCAGAAATAAGACAGAAATTTCTGAATATTTAGCACAGTAAAACAGCTGAATATTTTGCCAATGAAAAGACAGAAAAATTGTTGGTGGAGTTTTGTCTGTTCCTTTTTAATAGGGAAGAGAAAACTGGAACAGGATCAGCATTTCCCTTAATTTACCAGAAAGATATTGTTTGACAGAGGAGATAATGAAACTTTGTAGAAGATTTGCTTACATGATAAATTGTCAGAGAGATGGGTGACTACAGACCTCAATAGCAGGGGGAGGTCCAAAAAAAAAATAAGTGACAGGACTGTGTTCGAAGTCTTTAACAGTCAAGGATAAAGACAGGCTCCTGGGGGAGATTTGACTAAGGCTTAGGTAAAAGCATTTCACTGACACACAATTAATTGGACAAAACTTCTGGAATAAAAATGCACAACTCTAGACAAATAGCATTTGCTAAGTAGTAAGCTAGTTAAAATTTGCAGACATCTGAGTAACAGGAAGAAGGTTAAAATTGGGGAGACAAAATGTTTTAACTTGTCCCACTTGGCTAAAACCTCTATTTCTCAAACCACCCATCAGCCTCAGTTTGCAAAGTATTTCACCATTTTTCTTCAAGAAAAACACTGAGAAAATAGGATATGCCCTTCCTCCTCAACTGCGTTCCCTCCTGCAGCTCTACTCTTTTCTCCTACCTGGTCTCTTCCTTCAGTCCTTCTCTCTCTCATTAAGTCCATCTGATACCAACAAACATTTAACAACAGAATAAACAATCCAGACTGAACTGCATGGCACCTCAAAAGGGAAGTGGCTGTTCTGTTGCCTGACAGTTGCTCTCCATGTGACACAGAAATGCAAAAGTGCTTGCCTGAAAGTTGTACTACTTCTAACTGCTGTTATTAGCTGGGTGGAGTTGTCCTATTCTCCTCCTTAATATGAAAATAAAAATGGTAATGAGACATTTTGTGACAGAATGACTGGCTACTATACGTAATATGATTTTCCCGTTTAAGGAGATTATTGAACTGAGGGGTGGATAATTCATTTTATCTACACATAGTACTGCATGAAACTTACTGTTCAGCAACTGACAGACAAATAGGGAGAGGAAAAGAAATTGTGCACAAAAGAAATGTCACTGGTGAGAAAAAAAAATTGTTAATACATTTCATATAATGTTTTCATTAATGACTTGAGCACAAAAAGAATCCTAACAAATAGCTATGAGGTACTGCTAATACAAAGGCTCTCTCAAAGAATTAAATGTACAAATTTGAGGACCGCAGTAAGAGAAACAGGATGGTATTTAATAGCATGAACAGCAAGGCCAGGTGCTTAAAGAACAAGAGTTTCTCTTACATGCTATGGGCTGGTAGGCTGCAGGAAGTGGGAAGATCTGGAAGAATTATTTGCTCCCAGGTTTGGCAATAAAACTACCAACATGTTGCAGCTGTGTAAATGCAGAAGTGATCCTGTGATGTGTTAACTAAAAGAACTCTAAGAGATCATAAAATAATAGTACTACTTTCACAAGACCCAGGTAACTGCCTGAAGTGCTAGATCTTAGCTAAAATCTTAAATGTAATGAAATCTAAAGAGAACACCTCCCCAGGAAAAAATGAGAAAAAGCCTTCATATTTCCAACTTTGGCTATATTATTATATTTATTTAAATTTTTATTCTTCAACCTAATAAATCCATGTTCTACACTCCCCAAATCCAGTTTGTTTTAGAAAGAGATATTTGAATATCTGAAGAATTACTAATAAAATAGCATTCTCCAAACCCTTCCAAGACTAAAATGCTCCTGCATACAGTAGGAATTACAAAGGAGAAGAATGGAAAAGCCTGAATTCATACTATGCCTTATGAAAAAAGGAAAAGCATGCAAGCAGATTGTTTTTTTAGGCACGTGAATGAGACAGACTGTGCTCATCCTTTACTTCCACTACGTCAACACACAGTATAGTTAATACTTGTGCATGATGGACAGATACAGAAAACAATACTTTCCATGATTCAATTAGATCAACGGGAGATTACAGTCCCAGTCATATATTCCAACCTTATCTCAACAGCAATATAAAGAGGTACTCCCATGATCTATGGTTGGAGACAGAGACATATTTCAGGTAACAAGCTTATGCTTACCTGCACCATGTACAACAATTTTCTTGTACTTAAACTGCCTCTGTATTTAGTTCAATGTTACTGCATGACTATTCAAATCTCATGTCTTTCAGAGGTGACAGTCTCCAACAATACAATTTCACTGCTACAATTTAATAATTCACTGCGTTTGTGTTCTCTTGAAGAAATCTTTCAAACAGGACTCTGACTCACATGCAATTGACATTGCATGTGAGTCAGAGTCCTGTTTGAAAGATTTCAAACATTGCAATTGACAAACTTGATTTTAACTATTTTTTAAGAAGCAGTTTCAGGGTTTTTATCACTCTGGTGGTTTGTCACCCTGTAGTACACAACCCATATAATATATTCCTATATAACTAATCTACTAACTGAAATACAATACCATCAGTTTCTATAAAAGTAGCAGGTAGTATGCTAATTCTACCCTGATGTGAATAGCCAAACCCAAGAGCCTTCACACTTTTGCCAGAAATCTGACTTGTGCTAGTTCTTAAAGATCTCTACAGTAACATTTGTTCCCCAAAGGAAATCTTATCTGCCCACAGTAAAAAACAAAGAATTAGTAGTAAAAAAAAATAATACTTGCCTCACTCAAATCCTCTTCTTCATTTGCCACTTCACTAAAAGAAAAAGAAAAGGAACTACTTTGAAGTGCTAGAGGAGATTCAAAGTATTATTTAAAACCCAACATTTCTTAAATAAAAAATATGTTAGCCACCTGAAATTTTAGTAAACTTACTACTTTGTATCATCCTTGCATTTATCTTAAAAGTATCAATATTATTTTCAATCATTTGACTATCACAATCTTTTCTAATTAAAAAAGCTTAAAAACCAGAGCATTCATACAATGGAGAAATCCTAACCATATCTTGAGCTATTCAAGCAAAACACTAATTTGTACAGTTAAAACCAACAAAACTCAGTTGAGATGTTTTTGATCTCATTTATCAAACAATTAGTAGCATTTCATTGCAACAAGTTTATATTTTGGAAGATGCATTTTACTGATACTGAAGCTTAACATCAAGTTAAATAAATTCATTATACAGCTACAGCTTGGTGAATTAAAAAAGAACTCTATCTGAACACACTAAGGCTAACACACCCACTGTTAATTATCACAAACTAATAATAAGGGCCCCTGAACCATTTTAGCCCACATTAAAAAAAAAGAAGTTTTGCTACAGAAAAACCAAGGACTATTAAATAAGTCTCAGAAGTCAAGTCTTTGAAGTGTGCTCAAAGCAATCAATAAGTAATCAAGATCACTAAAGAAACTCCAGATGTGTTGCAACCAGTGTTGCAACCAGTGTTGCAATCAATGACATTAACTTATAAAGTGCTGCAGCTGGGTCAGGGCAATTGCTGATATCAATACAGACAGGTGATGAACGGACTCAGAGCAGCCCAGTAAGGAGGACGTGGGGGTGCTGGTGGATGAAAAGCTGGACATGAGCCGATGATGTACACCTGAAGTCCAGAAAGCCAACTGTGTCCTGGGCTGTATCCAGAGCAGGGTGGGCAGCAGGGCAGGGAGGGGATTCTGCCCCTCTGCTCTGCTGAGACCCCACCTGCAGGGCTGCATCAGCTCTGGGGGCACAGCACAGCAAGGACAGGGACCTGCTGGAGGGACTCTGGAGGAGAGCCATGAAGATGATCACCTCTCCAACGGGGAAAGGCACGATTGTTCAGCCTGGAGAAGGGAAGACTCCAGGGACACCTTATAGCATGCAGCCTTTTCATACTTAACATGGGTCTGTAAGATGGGGACAGACTTTTTAGCAGGGCCCGTTGTGAAAGAACAAGGGGTAGTGGTTTTAAACCAGAAAGGAGTAAATTCAGACTAAACATAAGGAAGATGTTTTTTATGATATAGATGGTGAGACACTGGTGAGCTGGCTGCCCAGAGAGGAGGTAAATGCTCCACTCCTGGAAACATTCAAGGCCAGGCTGAATGGGGTGCTGCACAACCTGATCTAGCTGGAGATGTCCCTGCTCACTAAAAGGGGGGTTAGATGTGATAAATTTTAATGGTTCCTTCCAAACCAGCTAGTCTAGGATTCTAAGATAAGCAAATTCTCGGAGTTAACATATTTTCATGGAATTTTCTCCCTTTATAATTCAACTGTGGTTAAAAATCAGAATTTATAAAGTACTAAAACTAGATAAGAAAACCGAGTTTATTAAATCATGCAGATTTATGATTAACCTGATATTTTGCTTGTTCTTTAGATTTGGAAAAAAAAAAGATATTTTCAAGCATAAGCAGGGTTAGAAGGTTGGGAAAAGCAATCCTCTAGAATAAACACAGCAAAGAACATCTTCAACATGAAGAAAATTTAAGTATCTTTAAAAGTTTAGGCTATGAAAGAGATAGTAGGAGTAAGAAAGGACTGTGGTAAAGAGAGGTATAAAAGGGGCTGTCAGCTCACTGTCTCTTCCAGAATGTGAGTTAGAACTTACGAAATGCCACTAGTAGCATTCAGGTTCAGAACAAAAAGGGGAGATACTTCCTCTGGTAGTGAAGAGGACGTTGTGAACTGAAACAATGTTACAAAAGACTTAATATACACTTTGAGAAGAGCTCTATTAAAGGTTACTAAATAGAGGAACCACATCAAAACCTGACAGTTCTCTGAGGTGAAACCTGAGAGGAAGCTGAGCAACTACTCAGATAAACTTTACATTTACACGGCTTTCACTCTTTACTGGGCATCCACTGAGGGCCAGTGGTGGTGACAGCTTAGTCAGTTAGAGAAATATTTGATCCGATCTTGCACTGGCACTCTTAATTTTTTAAATAGTAACGTGAATTGACATTTCTCCTGAGTATACAAGTGCATAATTGGGTATAACATATTGAAAGTAGATCTGTTCTAGAAATTGGAAATCACATACTAACCTTTTGACAGCAGGAACTGAGCTAAGATGTGGATCATCCTTCAGGAGATCATGACTACTTTTACTTTTTCCCTTCATGCTCTGTTAAAAGAAAAAAGTTATTATTCATTTCAGTTTAAGAGGTTAGATAGTGAAAAAGGATTATGGTAAGAAAAACATAACTTGTTTCGTTTTAGCTTTAGTCTATCCAGTAAGCATAAACACTTTTAAGAACAGAAGAAAGAGAAACATCAAACTGACTCCACAGATTTATTTTTGCAATAGCAGTGCACTTAGTTTTAAAGACAGAGAGAGAGGAAAAAAAAGATATTGTTTAGTCATGTACAATCATTACACATCATAAAGATGGTAGGTCTAGCACATATACACTTAAGTGAATAAAGGGGTAAGAACTTAACTTCCCAATAATGACACATGACAATTGAAAGAACCACCATGTATAAAACAGTACTTATTAATTACACTAATTAGATCCCTAAGAAAAAAAAAAGAAATTAACTAACTGCTATACATCAGTCTGGAACACATAATTTAAGAATCATTTACTGACATAAGGAGTCAAATAAATCTAACACATAAGGTCTTCAGGCAGAAAGACTGCAGCTAGAAAGCATTCTACATGCTAATCTGAAAAAAATATTCTTAATTTTCAGAGAAAAATCAGACTGAAAATCTCTGTTAAAGGAACAGTCTGTATTGTGACCTGTACTGTGAATGTCTCCATTGCAGATGCATTGTTTAATGCTTTTGGGAACACATTAGACATGTGGACAAAATCTTAGCCATTTAAATGCAACTGCAGTTTTTTATTATGTAGAAAACAAAGACTAACACATTCAGCAACATGAAAAGATAATTCCTTCATTAAGGAAGGGGTGGTGTGTTTGGAGTGGTGGTGGGGCTGTGCTCCAAACAGGTACAGACAATGAGCAGCTTGGGCACCGAAGGCTACACTGATCAACAGCCAAATCCCCGACTGCACTAACAGCCTTGATCTGGTTCATAGCTTGAGGGGTTTCACCCAGAACTTCTCTGCCCTTCTTAAACAAGCAAGACTTACTGCATCTAGCACCCACAAAAAGCTCATAGGATTTTGTGGATTCAAGGATCTCAATAACAACTTTGACCCTCCATTTTTCTTATCAAAAACAGAGAATGCAAGTTAGTGCTGATATTCATGTACTTCAACTTAAACAGATTAAGATAATGACCAGAACTAGACACACTGATCTAGGCCTATTATGAACAAACAATGAGGTATCAAAAAGAAGGCTTTATTCTGGTACAAAGAATGAAGATAAACTCTTCATAAAGAGTTGTTATGGTTAATTATCTAGCCACAACCAATGCAGAATTTAGTCAGCACAAATAGGCAGATGAGACTTTGAGGCTGAGTTGAAAGAGAGCCTTAAAACACTGGAACTCGGCTTATAATGAAAGAAGCATTCTATTTAGACAATTTTAAGCTGAAACCAAGTATTTGGCATGAAAAGAAAGGAAGTCCAGGCAACTGAATCAAACCCAGTATTATAAGCCAGATAAACAGAAAGAGCAAAACAGTAGATGAACATATTAAGCTAAACAAGTAAACTTTGTTTGACCGGTAAGTTGAAAAAAAAAAAAGAAAAGTAGTTAAAGCTGCTGTTGTAATAAATCTCTACTATCATTCTGACTGATAACACATTACTATAATATTGTCCATCATTATTCACTGTTTTCCTTTTGTATTTTAGCTAACTTCTGAGGACTAACAACTGTTTTTTCACTAATGTGCTACAGGATGCAGGACCATGTAGTCTGATCACTAACTGAAGTGGTGAGGTACTGTAGAAAGCCTAGAAATCTAGGAAAGAGCTTGGTCAGCAGTAGAAATGAAATCAGAAATTTATTTAAGAAAATTTTAAACTAGCCTTATTTAAATGCCAAATCAGGGAAGGAAATGTTAGACCAAAGATTACACATGCAATCCTGGAATGTGAACATTTCACTATGGTGCACTATTAAATTATGACAATGCACTATTTTCTCCACAATAACCACACTTCACTTTGCTCACAGATGGATGAATATATGTAAGAAAATGGAGCTAAGCGTGTGCTGGAAATTTTTAAAATGATCCTCAGTATTCAAGTATTTTACCATGTAACTGCAATCATAAATAAAGGACTTGAAAAAGATAACGTACTTATTGCTTCCATGACTTTTAAACAGCAGAAATAGATTTATACTATGAAACTTTTTGTTCACGGAAATGTAAAAATTCCATGCAGTAATTGAAGGTACCCTCAAAATCAAGAAAACTAAAAACTTCTGTTTTTGCAAAATGCTGTAACAGCAGAATCCTAAAAACTGAAGGAACTGCTATTATTATTGTTCAAGATATAAACATAAGAAGAAGACTCAAAACTTTAAAACTTTCCATAAACATGCAGAAAAGGTTAAAAAGACAAATAATGATAATTTGGTACAATACCTGACTAACTCTACTGACTTCTTCCTCTTCTTCTTCAGCTTCTTCCCCAAACGAAAGCAGATTAAAATTTCTTTAAGAGAAAAAAGAAAATTCCTAGTAAAATTTTAAATACTGTCTTACTAACATTCCATTAACTTTAAATACATTACAGTTGTGCTGTACATGACCTTTTAAAAAAGCCTTTTATCCTGCTAAATGTACCAATTCCAAGAAACTATTGCATTTTGCTTTGCAAAAAATCATAAATATTCAGAAAAGCATGTTGTATTATACTCCTGAGATAAAACAAGGATAGCAAAGCATCAGTTAAGACACAAATTAAGAAATCCTGTCTTGACTTGCTTTCCCAGCTGACAGTTCTGTTGTATTTCTTTTCTCAACAGAGGAGCATTGAAGACACAAGATTTTCAAGATATGACAGCTCAGAAACATATCAAATGTGTATTCATTCACAGAATGCAATTAAAAAAACTATGAGCTATAACTTATATTTCAAGAGTTAATTGTTCACACTGTTGGAACCAGTCAGTTGCAACATGTTCTATTTTTATGCAGCAGAACTGACAGCATGCCCACTTCAGAGTTTCTACTACTTTCTATTGCATGTTTGTGAATTTTCATTCAGAGAAACTATGATTTCCCATGTCAAAATGTCTGCCTCTTGCTAAGGTCTTCAGTGGGGAGAAATGGTATCTGATAAAATAAGTTCAAAAAATCCCAAACAATTGAGCTGTGACCCAGTTACTCCTACCAGCAGGTTTCACCTGCAGCATTGTCTCAGTCAGATGACTGTACTTTGTGGGACATGGGAAAGACAAACTACCTTCTAGTATTTTCAACAAACTATCACCATGTATGCAACAGTTACAGCTCAGCAGATGCAAAGTAACATTTCAGTCAGAGAAACTAGATTTGCAAGACCTCACCCGCCAGAAACAACGAAGTGCTTCAAAGGCAGAAATGGAAGTAAAAACCTGCCAAACTATAAAAAATTAAAGATGAAAGAAAATGAACCACCACTTCTGTTGCATATATTTACTTTGTGCCTTTTACTTTGGACTTTTTAGTTTCTTCCTCTGGTTTGTCTTTCTTCAGTTTTCTGTTTGGTCGTGGGATAATGTCATCAAACGGATTAAACAAAACCTGTTTAAAAAACCAGTATTTTAAACACACCTTTAGTAAATATTTTGTCATTAAGTAGCTCAATATTTTAAAACAATATGCGAAAGGACAAGCCAAATTTTCTGAACACAATGCACAAAAGAATTTCAGAATGTCCCATTTCAAAACAGAACATACTCACCTCACTGCTTCTTATTTTGTGTGGACTGAGAGGTCTCTCTTCTTTGTCAACTTCTACTTCAGCCAGGCGCAACATGTTATATATTGTATCCCCTGTAACCTGGCAAATTTACAAAGAAAGGCTTGAAAGTTCATGACTGTAATTTGTGTTATTTATTCTGCAAAATACAAGGCAATTACTATGTAAAAAATTTTGTAAGTACAACTGCTATAGGAAATATCGTAAGCATGTAAGACTTCTAAAAGACAGCAAGTACAATGTACAAAAGTTTGGGTTTTTGAATTTAATGGGAAAAGTTAAAGGAATACAGGTAGTTTTGAGAATTTAGGCAGATGAAGATGTTGAAGTGTTACTGTGAGCTATAAAACAGGAAAACGAAAACCACTGAAATAAAAAAAGATTTGCTTTATTTTCTTTTAAGTAAATCATGAAAGTGGCAAATTCATCTCATGTTTTTCATCATCCTGACTTTTCTTGGGTAATTAGAATCAAATTAATTCCAAACGGAATTTTCTAACATGTCATTAGTATTAGATGAACCGATTAATAACAGAGGCATAATAATACAAATAAGATTATTTAAAGGCAGCACAAGATGAAAATACAATCTAGAAGAATAACAACAGCAAAACAGATAATAACAGGAACAATCCACAGATTTCTGCCAGATATAGGAAACAAAGAGAATGGAGAGAGCATAGAAGCACTAAAATAAATTTCAAATGCACATAGCAGCAAACAATACCAAACTGGCCTTCAGAGAAACTTGTAGCAGCTTCTGTCAGACTTAAACTGGGACTCCAATACATGTAACAGACCTTTCCAAAGATTGTGTGCTTGTTGTTAAGCTCATCTGCGCGACCCAATGTAAAGAAAAACTGACTCCCGTTATCATGGGGCCCAGCATTGGCCATAGCAACAAGTCCTCTTCGATTAAATCGCAATCGTGAGTGGAACTCATCCTGGTAAAGGCAGGACAGAAAAGAGAACAACTTCAGTATAAAACTATCTTTTCACTCCTTTAGCTGCAGCGTGATAGGAGATAGGAGTGAGATCACTTACATCAGCAGGCACACACAGAAAAAAAATGCTACTAGTTTTCTTTTGAGTTCAGGCAGTAATAAATCCCAAGTATTTTGGAACTCAGTACCAGAATTATATTTAAAAGTTCCTACTATGAGTGGCAAAAATTATTTTTAGTCAGTATTTCTAATCCCTAGTGCCTATAATAATGCAAACAAATGAACAATCTTCAAAAGAAACCATAAACACACCACAAACAAAATTAAAAACTAAATATCAGTAACAGAAAGACACATTACTAATTAAAAAAATTCTAAGTTCTGTCTTGTTAATTTTATCTTTTTTCACTCATTGCCTAAAAATCAATTGTTATTCATTGTTTTTATTTGCATTTGTTATCCCCCTAATATTAAGAAAATAAAAAACATTTCAAAAAGTAACTGCATTTCATACATTTCTTGCAAAAATACTATTCTTGACAACAATTACTGTATTTATGTGAAAAATGAATTTAAATCCTAATTCATGTAAGGTTACTAATGGTGCAATAACAGGTTGTAATAGTAGAGTAATGCAGAAATCCATAGGAAGAACATTTTCTGGAATTAAGAAGACAAAATAGGACTCCTTTCAAAGCAAGGAGAACATGAAGAATACCACTGTAATATCACAATGCTAAACACTGCAATACTGAGATAACACTACTTTGAAGCAGCAATGCTACTACAATATTGGTAATTTTTGCTTTGTTCTCTGCTCAGGTACCATTCCCTCCCACAAACCTCAGGTTCATGCTAGATGTAAAAGTCTAGCAGCAAGAAGGTGGAAGGGCCAGAAATAGGCTTTGCAACTTCAGTCACAAATTAAAGGTGCCTGCCCACCTGAAATAAAACAGGCAGAACAGAACACAGCTGTTGAGCCCCCAGGTTTATCATTATACCAGCATAGCTGGGTCTAAGAACTCTCAATTTAGAAGAGCATATTCAAACACACTGAAGCAGCACATGAAGGCAACTACTGCACATGTATGCTTTCATATAAGATTTGATTTTTCAGAACTTGATAGGAAGAACAATGGGTAGAGGATACCAAACAAATTAATGTGTAAGTTATAGATACACACCTTGAAAGGAGCTCCATAGACCGACTCTCCTCCTGATCCAGTACCAGTAGGGTCACCCCCTTGCACAATAAAGCCAGGCACTACTCTGTGAAATATTGTGTTATTGTAATACTCTAAAAAAATGAAAAAAGAATAAGATATTAAACTTTGATATAGATCATGCAGAGATGTCCAGAGACTGAAGTTCCAGAAAGCAAATACTGAAACTAGATTCCACTGTTGGCTTCTATTTGGTTCCCTTCTGTTCTCCACAGACTTACGAGATCGCATCCTGTGGTGTCACATGTTTCTTTTGCAAAAAATCCTGCCCATCACTGACAAGACGACTTTGAGGAATTACAGTATTTTCAGCTTTGAAGTTTTTATTACTGTAATGACACTATCAAAATACACCAATTTAAAAGGAGAACTAGAAATACTGCGCTCTATCCTGGACGAGATCTCACATGCAACATTAGCAATACCCATATACAGATGATTTACACTTTCACTCACCAGCATAGAACACTTTTCATCACCTATACTACTATACTGTACCTAAACCAATATTTCTGCAGAATGAAATATGTGGTACATTTTACTAAGTTATCTTCTTTTATCTATCTATTTATCTGACAGAGGTTACAAGATCATAAGAAAACAAAAGGAATGAAAAGAAAAAATTACCTGAACCAAAACCCTGGTTGATATAACAATAATAAAAAATAAATCTGCAGCATGCTGCAAAACAAAGTAGGGTGTGCAAATGTTGCAGCATAACTAGACACAGTCGTGGATGGTTATATGCTGGGATATTAATGAGAAATACTTAAATGTATTACCAAGCACAAGATGCTACGCAGCAATTAAAAAAAAAATCAGAAAGCAAATAAAGCCCACTGAGTATACATGAACCTTTATCATGGGCTAAGGAATTCTTTTACCATTGCAAAAAGTCTCAAAATTAGGGAAAAGAGACTGGACAAAACAGACTGGATCTGTGCTGGAGGCACAAAGCCTAGACTGCTATTTTTGTTTAACAGATGAAGGCTAAAGGAACTCTTCATAATTCTACAAATGCGTAAATGGGAAAATAACGCAAGTTAGAAAACATATAATGGTATTAAGTTTTCACAGATTTTTGTTCCAGTTTTCTCAGTAGGGAGCTTATCATTCTGGTACTCACCATTTCAGTGAAAAGTTTTACAGAGCTTTTAGCAACAAAAAAAATACAGTAACTGAAACATTAGGAGCACTCACAGAAAAAAAAAAGGTAGTGTAAATTGTGATGCAGAAATGAGAATTTTGGAGAATGTTCAATATTGCATCACTGTCATTTCATTCACACACTGAAGTTGCTATACTTTGTCGATATTTGCTGGAAGTAGGCCTCTCAGGACTCTGAAAGACAATGTTTCAATACCATGTTGTCAGCTTAATTTGAGAAAACCATCCAAAATTTTTACTTTTTTTTCTCCACCAGCTTCATTGGCAACCTTGAAGAACATTGTCTGACTGTTAATTAGTAATTCCTAAACAGAAATAAACTTATTAACATATTAAAGCCAAAACATAATTACAACTTTCATTTTACAGAAAGGGACCAAAGATGGCACAGAAATTAATTTCAACAACTCTCATCCCATTCATTCATTACCTTCCATACACAGCTGGATGAAATTTCTGCATGCTTTTGGAGCTTCTTTTGACCATAATTCTATATCTATCTCTCCTGCTGTAGTTCTCAGCAAAACCTACAAACATACAGATAAATGCAGCCTCAGTTTTATTGTAACTTAGTGACTGATCAAAAAGTATATCTGCCTGAAAAAATAAATCTGAATTTGTTATATTTGTAAGACTGACATATATTTAAGTGCATCAGGTAGCTACTGTTAGTTCTAACTAGCATTTCCAGAACTTGAGATACAGCTCTGAATCAATATTATAAATATAAAGTATAACAAAGATGTATAATATAGCTGTAATAATATACATAACATTCATAACATAACATGGCTGATGCTTTATAGAAACTTAAGATACCCTTTATCATTTTTAAAACGAAACAACATGGGAAAAAACCAAAACCCATAAATACCCAAAGGTATAACTCTTACAAGGAACATCATTACATTCAGTGAGAGTTCATAACAAAATTAACGAGGTAAGATACAATAGGGAATAGAGGACTCCTCTATTTTACGTCTCCGAGGACTGCTCTGTTGTATGTCTCCAGACATCATGCATCACGCCTCATGCTTTGACTCCAGCAGCATCAAAGAAGTAACTTTAACCAAACCAATCCGCCACAGAAACAACGACCTCGCCACCCCCAATCACCATGTGTTCATCTCGCTGTCCCCCCATAACCCAGCAACATACAACTTCTTCAGGATTTCAACCCGCAAGCCTCACCTTCCCGTTGGTGGGCGGCTCCTGGATGTAGATGTTGCTCATGGTGAGGAAAAGACCGGCCCGGCCGGTGAGCCCTCCCCAGCGACCGACGCGGGACCCCCTTCGCCTCCGACACTTCCTACCGCCCCGAGCCGCCCGACATCCTGGGCGCCCGTACGCAGTTCGGAGAAGAGGGGGATGAAGTTGCACAAGCCGGAAGAAAGGACGAAGGAATGAGTCCTCGGCCGGAGCCTCTCCGAGATTCACTGAGAAAGAATGTGTCGTGGGAAAGACCCGAAGGTTTCTCCACACATCTGTGGTCCCCCACCGTGGCTCGCGCCCTAGAGGTGCTGAGGCCCCCTGCCTTCCCTGGGAGTGGTACGGTCCGGGAGTGCGCCGGGAAAGCCTTCCGGCGGGGAGAGGCGTCGCTGTGCGTGCGGGCCGGTGCAGTCGGGAGAGAGCGGCGCGATGGCGCTGCCGGGTGAGGGGCGCCTGCCCTGGGCAGGGGCAGTGCCGGCCGGTTCCGCCCGGCAGCTTGGGGACGGGAACGGGAACGGGAACGAGCGGTGGGGCGGTGGACAAGTGGGACAATTGCGCGGGGACGGCGCGCAGCTGTGCGCAGCACAGGGAAGCGTGCGGGGGGCGGCGGGCACTGCTCCAGTCCGCTCTGCCGGGGGCAGCGGCTGGGAGATGGAGATGGGGATGGAGATGGAGATGGGAATGGGGATGGGAATGGGGCCGTGGCCGCGTTGGGCAGGGGCAGCGCTGCGGGCGAGTCCTCTTGTGGCTGCGGGGCCCCTCCCCGAGCTCCTGTGTGACCCAGCGCTGCGTTCTCATGGCCTCCTCTGAGGTTAGCTGGTTGTCAGACTGGGCTTTTCTCCTCCGCTGCCGTTCTGGGTTAGTGCTTGTGTCCCAGTAGGTTGTGCCTGTGAGTCAGGGCAGGCAGAAACACCTGCGCGATTTGAACGCGATTGCCATTGCTCCGTAGGGTTTTCTTGCCCTGAAAAACCGGGAGTGAGTGGTTCGGGAGCAGGTGAGCAGGCCTGAGCTTTGGTGGTCTGCTTCTCTGATGAGACGAAGGTCTTCAGAAGCTTGTTCCCATTCTAGAAGGAAGTTTTGAGGAAGACGTGTTTGCATTCAAAGGTTTCCAAAGGTTTTCTTTTCAGTCTTATGCTCCACTGAACAAATGAAGTCCTTAGTTTTGTGCCATTTATTGTCTTGAGAATTAAGATGAGGGAAGAAGAAGGAGTGAGAAAGGAAGCTTCTTGCAATGAGTTTGCTCTTAGTCGGCTAAAGTTTCATCTAGTCTAAACCCTTGCTTCTAACATTATTATTTAAAGCCTAAAACAATAACAAAATGTCAGTCCTAGGAATTTCATAGGAATATTTGGTGACAATATTTGCATTCTTGTTATCTGCTGGGTGTCTCTTTTGGAGATCCTGACTTACACTGCAGATTTCTCTAGGGTGCACATGGGTGTACTGACCTCCCTTGGCTGGAATACCAAATCTTTTTTTACCTATGGGTCAGCTATGCAGTGGGGTTGGAGTTAACTCAGAAATACTTCAGAAAATTAGGACAAAGTAGGTGGCTTGGATGATCTTGTTTTCTTGTCCCAAGGAGTGGTGAACAAGTAAATGCTGGCTTGATTGTTTTTCTGATGTGACATGGCATTGGTATGCTTTTGATTTTTATTTTGTGACTCTTCTTCTGTGTTCCCTACCTCCTTATCTCACTTGTGGGTGTCCTTCTAACAAAGGGACTGTCACAAAACAAGGACCTGAACACTGCTGACCTTGAAGGGGATGTGTAATATTAAGGGTTTGGGATCTGCAGGAAATAATCCATTATAATGGAATGTATGGATCTTTGTTGCTTGGCTTTCCAACACTCTTTTAAGGCATACACCTGAGCTGTCCAAGTTTCCAAGGTAGTTTTTTCAGCTTGCGGTTTGAAGGTTTCTGTTATTTTGAGCAGAATTTTTTAAAGACAGTGCTTGTTTCAGTAAGTCATAGTTTAAATTAATGGGACTGATGTACTCAGTTTCTGCTAGTATATGACTGCTTAAGGTGCTGGGGTGTTTCTGCTGTGTTCAGTTGGGAGATAGAATGGCATCCTTTGATTTTGGGAATTCAGTTGTCACTTTTATTACCAATGGCTTAAATGATTACAATTAAGATTGACCTGTTGGGGGGTGGGGTAAATCCCTGGTGCTTCTCCTGCATTGTGTCCTACTGTGTCTATTTAACTTAACTGTTGTCTCACACGGCAGAATCACACACTTTCAATACCTATAATTTGCATTATTCAGATCCTTCTCTCTGTTTAGAATCCAAACTTTACTGTTACTGTCTTCACTTTCTTACACATTTGCTTTCTTGCGTTTTTTGTGTTTGGTCATGTTGTCTGAATTCAGAATAATTTAACAATTTGTTGACTTTTTAATTTCCTTCTTTGTTTTCAAGGATTGATTTTTGATTTGGTTTGGTCTTTTTAATTGCCTTGTTAAGTCAATTCTTGTTATTTAAATATAAATCACTTCAGAGTTTCCAGTGAATACCTGTCAACATCCTTGCACTACTAGAATTTATATTGTGTACTACAGATCACTGGAATGTTAGATGTCTATTACTGTAACTAAACAAGTGGAAAGGTCACAATAAATCAAATTAGGATTTGGCAATAAATATTGCAAGACCAAATGATCTTTAGCAGTTTAAATTAGTTAAGTGTGTTCTGGTAGATTACTGCACAGAAAAGTAGCCTTAGAAATGCAGTTTTTTAAAGAGATCTTGGTGTACTTAATACTCGTGAGGGGTGATCACTTCTGGCTGTGTATTGACATTATCAAGCCACATTTGAAAGAAACTTGAAGGTTCTCCTCAGCAGCACCTAATTGGTGAAATTTTCTCTTTCAGGAGGAAATAAGGATAATATCAGAGCTGGATGCAAGAAGTGTGGCTACCGTAAGTCTGTAATAAGCAATATAAAGTTACAGTGTTTTCTTCAGCTTACGATGTTGGTTGGAACTGCCTTTTGAGGAGAGGGGGAAAAAAGCAAAGAAGTATTCTTCTCCCTTGTTGCCCAGGCATTTGTCAGTTTAAATTACTATGTTATCATTCTTCTGTTTATTTCATGTTTGTTCTCTGGTTTCTCACAGTTATCAATGCTCTTTGAGTGTCTCAGCAAAAAAATTATGCTATTATATTCATATGTGCAACATTTCAATGCAATTACTTGAGAAACTTTGAAATGAAAGCATCTTTTTTGATATGTACTGAGATGTGCACTTGTGCTTCTTCTGAATCTGACTGCAAAGAGGCAGGCATTTCAGTTGAAGTTAAGTACAATCTAATTCACCAGAAAAAATAGTTTAAAATCTGTATAAACTTTTATTCTAAGAGAATACTATCGTGTGCATTTTATATTTCAAGAAACAGCTACCTTTATTGCTTACAGTTTCTGCAGTTGGCATTTAGCTCATGCTTTGGATTATGCACTGATTGTACATGTCTGTGGCTACTTTCCTGATTAATGGAGACAGGTCTTAGTGAAGATTTCAAATTTTTAATCACTGACTCTTATTTTTAGAATTTTGGATGAACAGACACTGTTTTGTACTGAATTGTCTTGAACTTTTAGCACAGTGAGTTAAGCTGTTTGGGTTTTTTATATGAGTGTTACATTGGGAAAAAAAATTTCTTCATTCTTTCTCTTCAGGCTTTTGCAACAAATTTTGTCAATTACTTGCTTTGTGTATCTGTTCTTTCAAAGAAAGTGGATATAAATACAGATTTAGTGCTTTCTTTCTACATGCAGCAAGTATCAGAAGCTTTCTGAAAGAGAAGAAAATTTGTAGTCATATCATATGATCCATGTTTATATGTTTCTAAAATCTCTGTCTTGAAGGTGTAGGTAGTTTGTCATCATCCTTACTAAGAACATGAGCTTATTTCAATTACTACTTGAATTAATGTGTCTCCCAAACCATATCTTCCTTTTTTTTAAATTTCACTTTTTAAAATTATTTCAATGGGTGTATTCAGCACAAGGCTTCTAGCTGGTCATGATTATAAAGATGCAACTTAGAAAACTAAAAATACTGGTCAGGCAGTAGTTTAGTCAGTATTAAGTACTGGCTGTTAAAGATTATGTCTCATGGGCAAATATGATTCTGCAATTTCACTAGAGGGAGTTAAGCAATGCAACACTGACTTAGTTTTTGAAATATTTCATGCTGTATTTTTAGGTAATTTCTTAAGAAATACCTAAGATTATTAAAAAATTGAACCTAAAGTTAGAAAAAATCTTCAAATTAGCAGAATAGGAGAGAGGCCGTAAAGCACTATTGAATAGTGCTTTGTACAACCTGTCAAATTCTTGGAGAGTTTTTCAAAGTGAGCTTTCTCCTGCCCCTTTCACAGATCACAGCCTGCCTTTTTTCCTTTCACTTCTCAAAACTGAATAATACAAAAATCAACGTTTTTGACGTTTTTTTGATAAAGTGTAATTTTTCTTTCTGTATATTTATTTTGTTCAGCTGGTCATCTGACGTTTGAATGTCGAAACTTCCTCCGAGTAGATCCTCAAAGAGATATTGTTTTAGACGTTAGCAGCACTAGCAGTGAGGACAGCGAGGAAGAGGAACTGCAGAGATTACAAGCCATGCGTGAAAAAAAGAGTAAGGTGTTTTTTTTGGGTTTTGGATAGTAGTCTTCTGATGTGCAGGGACTCTCATTTTATCCTTTTTGATAACTACTTTTAGTTCTTTTAGCCTGTGATTTAAAAATATAGGTCTTTTACTTTATGTGTTTAGACTTCAGAGGTTTGATACACACACACTCTTGTAGTATTATGATTAATTCCGTCTAGAGTTATTAATGTACCTGTTTGGAATATCTCAAAAGGGGCTCCTAAATACAAGAGATTAATTAATCTTTTACAAAGAAGCTACTTAGAAGAAAATAACATGAGTGTTCTGAGTTAATCTTTTGATTATGACATGTAGTTTAAACATCTTCTAACGACTGAGAAATATGACACTTGAATTTCTCTCCAGTTTCTAAGTAGGATTTTGACTGAAACAGCTAGTAGACTGGAATTCAGTCATTCATATTTTGAGAAGTACTGTTCTATATCTGGA